GACGATCTCGAATTGGCGAGATCGAAGCGTATTGTACACGATAGATTGTATTCTCGAAGTTTGTCGATTTGTTTCGCCTCGCTGCGTTTCTCTTCTTCGTTCTCCTCCTCCTCCTCCATCCATCCTCGTTCTTTCTCTAGTACGAGAAAGTTGCCGTCGCTTGCGAATATTCTCATCGAGACTCGACGGCGAAACACATGTTAATGTTCGAATCGATCTCGAGATTTTTCGAGCTCGAAATTTTTTCACGATCGCGAGATTTTATATCTCGGGGAGGGTTGAATCGAGCCATGAAAACGAACCGAGCCTTGGTCGATTGATCTCGTGCGGTTGATCGTCTCCAACGTTGTTGCGGCCGAGAGAGAGAGAGAGATGGTGGCGATTGGATCTCCGCCAAATGCCGTTGGTAAAATTAATCGTTCTCTCCGACATGAATTCCTCTCCAAGCGGGGAATATCAATTTGCGGGGATCAAAAGGAGACAACGTTGACAACAACTGGTCGTCGCGAAAGGTTAGAGAGACGATAATCGGTCGAAACACGATCGACCACCGACGAGCGCTTTCACGCCGTATCGTATCGAGTTTACTTAAGACGGTTAGAGGTTTTCGTGCGTTTTCGTAACGTCCCTTTCCTCCTCCTCCTCCTCCTTCTCCTCCTCCCTTCCCTTTTCTTCATGGAAGAACTTTTCTTATCTCGTTATCGCCGAATTTTCCGTTATTATTATTATTAATATTATTATTATCATCATCATTATTATTATTATTATCATTATTATTATCATTATTATTATTATTAATATTATTATTAATATTATTATTATCATTATTATTATTATTATTATTATTATCATTATTATCATCACACACACACACACATCCGTGGATATGGGGTTTTAATAAACGATGGAGTAATCGTCATCGAAGATTTTTCAAAAACACTGTTCGTACGAAAAATACGAATCGTACGTGGGAGAGGAAAAAAAAAACTAAAAAAAAAAAAAAAATAGATGCGTAAAGATAAAAATATAGACGCATCGAGAGGGAGAGAATCGTGAAAGAAACGATGGTCGTGTATGGTGGCAGCAGTAATACGCTTCAAAGAATCGTATTTCTTCTTTTTTTACAGATCGAAATTTTGGCAAACGATGGAAGTACGAACACCGTTTTAGCGGCGAGTTGGAAAGAGAAATCACGTTCGAGATTCACGTTCCGTAAAAGGATCAAAGGAAGGAGAGCCTAATCGAGAGCGAAATCTGTTATTGAGCGAGGAAAACAACGTGGAAATATATAAGAGAAGAGCGATCGTTTAAAGCGAAATGCGAGATAAAGGGACGTAAGAGCGCCGGTCGACGACGACGACGACAACGACGAGCAACGGACAAGAAGAGACGATACGTCGGATGAGGGCGACAAATGCACGCTGCCGAGAACCCGTGTTGTTAAAATAACGAAAAAAAAAAAAAAAAAAAAAAAAAAAAAAAAAAAAAAAAAAAAAAAAAAAAAAAAAAA